TTTTTTACAGAACTGATCTAGTGGGCATGTGTTGTGGTGAATTATAATAGGGTTAGGTGGAATTCACATATTTTTATTATTAATCTGCCATTAATTAACCAACTGTGTGACATGTTGCAAGTTGCTCAACCTCTAGCAAAATTAGTTTTTTACTTAAAAAAATTCAACTATAAAACTGTATAATAATGGCCTTTTATAAATTCCAAGTTTGTCTTTAAGGATTTTATCAAATTGTTTGGATATAAGTGCTATGGAAATGCCAAGCATTACATAAATATGAGGTAGGGTCATTCAGCTAGTTTCTTACCATGGAGCCAATTAACACTGATGTCTTAAATATAATTAAATGTTATTTCTTACAAATATTTAATAGAATAATATGTTAATATATCACACCACTGAGAAATGCATGTTCATTCTTCTTCATGTGCTCAAAATAGAAGTTGAGTTATTTTAATATCATAATGCCAGTGGTGTGGTCACTCAACATTTTAAACTGCTATTATGCCTTTATATTTTAGAATTTGGCACACGATTCAAACTTCAAATCAATTAACAGCATATCTTCTTCTAAGTGTTTTGTTTTTGTTTCTTTTTTTTTTTTTGGTTTGTATTCTCTTGCTAAGTAACTTAATTCTCTGTAGCTAAATGTTTCTTGATGCTCTTGTTCACATAATAATGAATGAGTTTTATATGAAGATTTTTTAATGAACCTGTTGTATACTGTTGGCCTTCGGTCATATACTGATTGGTTGACAAGGTTTATGAACTTGAAGTACAAATATGTTTTTTTTTTTAACTTCAGTAGATAATTTCTGGAGGCCAGGTGTGCCATTTTTAGTAGGAAGTCAAATATTTCCCTTTTCAGCTCTCCCCAGCAAGTATGAATTATCCAAAAACCTATTCATTACCCAACAAGGAGTAAAGGAGTAAATTGTGCTTTTGAAATCCAGGATTTAACAGATATGGCAAGGATGTCAGGCCAGTACCGTGGGTACTTTTTTATAACCAGTAGGAGGTGCCTAATGGAATTGTGCTAAACAGAATCTGACAAACACCTCAGCTCAGCAATGAAACAGACGTTGATTCCAGTCTCGTGGAAGCTACAGTGGAACTACCAGACTTGGACCTTAACATCAGTACTTTATTTGTTCTTTTCGCATGATCTCAGGGTGGGGACTAGAGGCAGGCAAGTGCCTTTCTTAGGCACAGACTTTCAGGAAGTGCCCACTCTCACACTGCATCCAGTGCCAAGTATTTGGGTACTCAGCTCTGCTGTTGATAGACATTTTATAATCAAATGATCATGGCCACAAAACCAGCCTCAATAAATCTGAAGGAATTAAAATTATATGATAACACACTCTCCAAATGTAACAGAATTAAATGAGAAATTGACAGCAGAAAAATTCTGAGAAAACTTCAAATATTTGGAAATTAAACAAATTTCTAAAATAACCTGAGTCAAAGAAAACTTTACAATTGAATACAAACAGCATACCAAAATTTATGAAACGTAGTTAAAACAAGGTTTACAGGTAATTTTATCATTCTAAATTCCTACATTAGAAAAGGAAAAGGTCTTAAATCAATATTCTAAGGTTCTACCTTAAATAACTAGAGAAAGAAGAGAAACTGAACCCAAAACACACAAAAGAAAGGAAGTGGTAAGATTAGGGAAAAATTGTTAAAATGGATAAGAAAAACTGATGAAACAAAACATTGGTTTTTGAGTAAAAAAAAACTGACATATCTTTAGTCGGACTGACCAAGAAATGAACAAGGAAGACACAAATCAACAAAACCAGAATTTAAAGTGGGGACATAAATAATGATCATTCAAAATTAAAAGGATTATAAGGAAATACCATGGACTCCATTATGCCAAGAAATTAGACTATTTAAATGAAATGGACAAATTTCTGGAAAGACACAAATTACTAAAATTATCTCAAGAAGAAACAGATAGTTGATGCAGACTTGCCAAATATTTAATCATAATCCTTATGAAATGTTCAAAAAATAGAAGTAAAGGGGAGACTTTTGAACACATCTTATGAGGCCAATATTACCTTTATACAAAAACCAGGCAAAAAACAAGTAAGAGAACCACTTATGAATATATATTGAAAATCCCCAACAAAATATGAGCACAACAAATCCAGAAACACAAAAAGCATGTTTTTGTACTCTAAAAAAGTAGAATTTTCTCCAAGAATGCAAGATTGGTTTAACATCTAAAAATAAATTAATGTTACTAGAATTAAGGACAAAACCACATAAAACCAGGACAAAAACCATTTGACAAAATCCAACACACAATCATTACAAAAACTCTAAAACAGCTTAGAAAAAGAACAAAACTCTCTCGACCTGATAAAAAGCATCTATGGCGATTGTTCAGTTAATATCACCCTAGTGAAGTGGTGTTGGCAGATTTTCCCCTAAGAACAACAGCACAGAGGTATCCACTTTCACTATCTAGTCAATGTTTTACAGGTTGTTGCAGACTTGGATAGGGAGAAAATAGATCGAAAAACATACAGATTGAAAAGGAAGAAGTAAAACTACCTTTATTAACAGATATCATAATATCTTATGTAGAAAATACTAAGAAATGCAAAAAAAGAACTACCAGACTTGTGACTGAGTTTATAAAGCTTTCAGGATACAAGATAAAATGCAAAAGTTAATTGCATTTTGATATGCTAGCAACAAAATTTCAAAAATTAAATTAGAAAACATTTCCCTTTATAATAGTATCAAAAGGATAAAATGCTTAGGTATAAATTTAATTAATTAAATGAAAGACTTTAACTGAAAACTATACAACATTGGGAGAGAGATGAAAGAATATCTAAACAAATGGAGAGGTATTGCATATTCATTGACTGGTACGCCATAGTTTTGAGATGGTAATTCTTCCCTAACCTATTGATTCATTGAAATCCCTGTCAATATCCCAGGAGGCTTTTCTGAAGAAATTGACTAGCTTATACAAAACTTTATACGGACTGAAAATTTTTTAAAAAAGGAAAAAGTTTGATGACTGCCAAATTTCAAAACTTACTATCAATCTGCATTGATGCAGGCAGTGTATTATTGCATATGGATAAGTATATAGGCTTATGAGAAGGAATTGAGAGTCCAGAAGTGAACTCATGTTTATGATCACTTGTTTTTCCACAATAGTGAAAAAGGCAACTAAATAGAAAAAGAACAGTCTTCTCAAAAAAATGTTGCCTGGACAATTATATATCAACATGTAAAAAATTATACATATATAAAACAACACGTTATTCATATATATGAAATAACATATCCTTATCTCACATCATGCAAAAAATCAAAGGGATCATAGATCTAAATTATGAGCTAAATTGATAATAATGTCTAATAAATCATAAGAGAAAATCTTTATACTATTGGTTAGACAGACTTTTTAGATATTATAACAAAACCATGATATATAAAATTTACAAGTTGGACTTAATAAAGTGAAAGACAGATTTGATAATTTAGACTTAATTAAATAAAAACTTTTCCTATCCAAAAGTCACTAACTGAGAAAATGAAAAGTCAAGGCAACACAAGGAAAAATTATTTGCAAGTCACATATATCATAACAGAATTGTGTTCAGAATATGAAAAGAACACTCACTACTCAATAATAAGAAAATAAATAACACAATTTAAAATATTTTCTGTATATGAAGGTAAATTTCATTAAGGAAGACATACAAATGGTTAATAAACATGACAAGTTACTCAAAATCTTTATTCTTATGAGAATGCAAATTGAATTGAGATGCTATTTCACAACCACTAGAAGAGCTATAATAAAGAAAATGGACAATATTAAATGTTGGCAAGAATGTGAGAAACAGGAACTCTCACAGATTGATGGTGTGAATGAAAAATGGCACAGCTACCTTGCAAAGCAGTTTGGCAGTTTCTTATAAAGTTACACATAGGGCTACCCTGGTGGCGCAGTGGTTGAGAGTCCGCCTGCCGATGCAGGGGACACGGGTTCGTGCCGCGGTCTGGGAAGATCTTACATGCCGCGGAGCGGCTGGGCCCGTGAGCCATGGCCACTGGGCCTGCGCGTCCGGAGCCTGTGTTCCGCAATGGGAGAGGCCACAACAGTGAGAGGCCCGCGTACCGCAAAAAAAGAAAATGTTACAAATAAATTTACACCTCAGCAATTTCTCTGTCAGGAATCTGTGCAAGAGCTACTAAAGTATATATCCACCCAAATACCTGTGAGTGAATTAATTGCTCATAAAAGTTAGTTGCTAAGAGAGTAGGTCTTAAAAGTTCTCATCACGAGAAAAAATAAAACAAACAGTAACTGTGTGTGGTTATGAATGTTAACTAAACTTATTGTGATGATGATCTCACAATATATACATACATTGAATCATTATGCTATACACCTGAGACTAAGAATGTTATGTGTCAATTACATCTCAATAAAAATGTTAAAAAGTAGAAACAACCGAAATGTTTACCAACTTGTGAATGAATAAACAAAATATTATATATATTTTGAATTGCTCTTTGGCAATAAAGAGTAAAAGTAGTGATACATGCATGAAAAATCCTCAAATATTTTATTCTAAGGAAAGAAGCCAATCACAAAAGACAATATATTGTACCATTCCATTTATATGAAATGCCCAGAAAAAGCAAATCTGTAGAGACAGAAAGATTAATGGTTGCCTGAAGCTGGATTTGGGGACAAAGAGTGACCATAAAAAAGCCCTTTTTTGGCAATGGAGATGTGCTGAAGCAGGGTACTGCTGACGGTCCAATAGCTATATGCACTTGCAAAAATTATTGAGTTATAGATTCGCAGTGGGTGAATTCTATGACCTGTAAATTATACCATGATAAACGTGTTTAAGAAGATTTCATGAACTCTAGAGACTTTTTCTATACCAAGTTTTTGTACATGCCTATGTTCATATTTTCTTTCTGTGTGTGTTTCATCTTTTAAGGTCCATTCTGTGAGGAGTCAATGGAACACTGTGTTTCTCAGTCTTGTTGGAAAGGAGAAATTAGTCAAAATAAAAGCTCAGCTTACATTTTGGAATGCAAAGAAGGATATCTCAATCAAAGCTGTGAAACCTATGTCAATGAGTGTTCACCAAAACCATGTCAGAATTTTACTGACTGCATTGATATTCCAACAGTAAGTCTGAATCTAACATACAAGGGAGTGGTTTTAAAATATATTTTACCATTACTAAGCTGTTTGAAAAGTACAAATAATTAAACTTCTAATTAACATATTGCAATTTTCAAACTCAGGAACATCAGAAAATGTATTTAACTTGCTTATTTTCACTGTTCCCATTTTAAATAGAAACCCCAATTTCAAAACTACTCTTCAATTTTAATTTTTGTTATTCTGACAGAACTCTCCTTTATGAACAATATAAGTTTGTAAACTTTTCATTTTTAGTTATTTAAAAATATTTTCTTTATTATTTGATTATTTTATATTATTGCATTTTAACATTTTATTTAATAGTTAAATAAATAAGAATAGGAAATAATTTAGTAGTTCCCACAAATGACAATCTTTCATTTTGGTAAGATTCATTCATAATATGAATTAATATTCATACCTTAAAGATTTCCTCACTCACATGTCCAGGGGTCAATGCTGGTTGTCAACCACATCCTCAACTGGAACTGTCAGCCATAACCTAAATAAAACTATTTTGTGTGGCTTGTGTGTCCTCACAGAATGGTGGCTGGGTTCCAAGCTTTCCCAGATAACCAGACTCTGTATGTCCTTTTTAAACCTAGCCTTTAAAGTCACAGAGCATCCTTTCCCCATAGTCACAGCTTGCTTACACTCAAGGGGGTAAATATGGCCCCAATTCTCAATTAGGGAGACGTTGAAATAAGGTAGTAGGAAGAGTGTGGGACATGGGAAACAATGTTGGGACGTTTTGGAAAATAGAATCTTCCACATTGTTGCACTGAGTGAGAACTTCTACTACCTGCTTATGAAAATAATTTCCATCTCTCCCCATGTAAGAATCCTTTTATTATCTTTGAGATATACAGATTTTTTTTTTGTAAAAAATACTTTTTAATCTTTTCTAGGGTATCATGTGCATGTTTTCACCAATATGTACAGTCAAGCATTGTAAGCAACTTCAAACATCACTGGAGTCTTTTCCTTGCAAGATTAATGCCACAAGTATGAAATATGAGAAAGATTATCATTGCAGGTATAATTAACTTCCTATTTTTAAACAAAAATATATGAATTTTAAATCCTGTGGACAAAAATAAAACAATGTTCTGTTTTAAGCTTAAAAAACTTTAATGGCTTATAGTATTTTATTTCCAGTTAAAGTAGAAAAATCTTAATGCTTTTTCTATGAAATGTTTAAATGTTGTGGCATTGGTTTTAAATAAATATTGGAGCGATTCTTGTTTTTTTTTTTTGCGATACGCGGGCCTCTCCCATTGTGGAGCACAGGCTCCGGACGCGCAGGCTCAGCGGCCATGGCTCACAGGCCCAGCCACTCCACGGCATGTGGGATCTTCCCGGACCGGGGCACGAACCCGTGTCCCCTGCATCGGCAGGCGGACTCTCAACCACTGCGCCACCAGGGAAGCCCTGGAACAATTCTTAATCATAATTTGGGCATACCATCCTAAAACATCTATTTTGTTTTGTAATGAAGATGTTTAGGATAGCTGGATAATATTTGAAGGTCTAGAAGGAAGAGATACTGTGAGTGCCCACAGTATTATTTCTACTGTACACACACATCCTTGCTATTATTGTTTGAAAGTATAGACCCATTGTCTCTTCCTGCAATTCACAGACCTCAGCTGAGAGTTTTCCTTTAGGATCTTTAGGCAAAGTTTTAGGAAACAGTGTCTTATTTAAATAAAGACTTGCTAAAAATTACCGACTTGTAAATGACAGAAGTGAATTAGTTATCTGGTACTATCACTTTAGACCATTTAAAATAGCTTTATAGTTAATTTCTCACACCATCAAGAAGTGTAATTTGTACTCTTCACACTTGCTTGACTTTTATCTTGCTAGACTTTTATCTGCTTAAAGAAAGTTCTGTTAGGCATTATTGAAGGGCAGTAAACAAGCTCAGAACTTTTAGAATATCCATAAAAGCAGAACATTAAAAGCTGTGGTAGGGACTGAGTGAACTGATGGATGATTATAATTTTTGTGACTTTCTGTTTGAATAAAAAAAATAATTAAAAAAATAAAAGAATAAAAGCTGTGGTACAGGAAAACCTTAAAAGCACACTGAAAAAATCCCTGCACGTATATCACAGATGCATGTGCATTATAGATGTACAGTGGACACTATTTTCATCAATTTCAAAGAATCTAAATGCAAAGTTAAAAAACATATTAAGCTTTTAAAATTTGACATTTTCAAAAGTGAATGGAGAGAAACCTCCTCAATATATAAAGACCTTAGAACATCCAACCCATCAAGTCAAATCTGTGGATGCATTCAATCTTATATTAGCTCACCTATAAATCGAGCTATTATCCTTTTAACAATATTGGCTTTTTAATTTATAATTTCTAGTTCTGAGCCTTATAGGACTAGTATATTTGTGAGTCTACTTAGAAAAGTGATCAGCTTTAAAAATATGGATAGCATTATATAAATATAGGTAAATATGCATTCATATATATATATTTTTTATCAAGTATGATGCTTTTATTGGTTTTTATTATTAGCATTATTCTAGTTGTCTAGAAGGCTTTGTTTTATATTTTATCATCAAAGGGAAAACTAGATAACTAGAGGCATTGTTGTCATCACTCAGTTTACTGTTATATTATTAATTAATATATTTAATTTTAAAATGATGGAGTTTGATCTTGAATGCTTTGTAAAGCATGTTTTAGATAGGATGAAAGTTATAGAAATTCAAGTTAGGTTTCCCTAGGATGGATGAAATATGTCAAATAGGTAACTAGTTGTAACAACTTTGAAGTAAACTTACTCGTGAAATTAATATGAGCCACTGTATGCATTCTAATTGTTGAGATTGCCCACATTCTTTAAAAATTCACATTGAGCACAATATATACATTGTGCTCACTCATCTTGAATCTACTTAATTAAAAACGTTGTCCCCTCTATTGATTAAATTAGACTACCAATTAAAAGAGGGTGAAAGATAAGAAAAGTGACAGGAGAGTAAAAATAAAACTTATTCAAAGGGCAGAAATAACACAGACTAATTTGAATGATGAGTGAAAACCCAAGCTTCAGAAATCAGTAAGAATGTGGGGAACACAAAACAGTTTCCAGCCCCCAGATTCTCCCATCCACAAACTCACCAATGACAGTGCAAAAAAGTTGCTAACTTTGACTCACATGAAGTAAAGGTCATATGATCAATATAAACTAATAAAACATGAAGTTGAAACAATGAAAAAAATAGTCTTGAAAGCGACTTTTCTTTTCTCAAACGAGATTAAGAGAATCACTGAAAATAATGAGAAAATCAAACACCCTTTGACTTAAATGCCTTTAGTTAAAAATTTATCTGTGCATTGTTATATTAGAAGGTATGTGTTTCTGGAACAGTGATTCTCACACTAGCTGTACCAGACTTTAGCTGCATTAGAAACTCCTGAAGGGCTGTTTAAAACACAGATCATTTTTCCCTTCCCCTAGAGTTTCTAATTCAGTCAGTCTGGGGTGGGGATTGCAAATGTGCATTTCTACAAAATTCTCCAGAGATGCTGATCTGAGTTCAAACAGCATCAATGCAGAAAATCCTCCTACACCTTTTCGCCTACTTCATCCACACATCTCAACCCAAGCTTTTACTTTTTTTTATTATGAATCTGGGGAAAAAAGTGTGGGGTTGAAAAGGAGTAAAATGAAGAGGAGAGAACAGATAGGTGATAATGCTATCAGTTTCTCTACTTGAACGTATGGACTAGGTCTAAATTACTATGATCAGATGAGAGAGGAAATAAAATTACCTCCTGAGAATCCTCTGGCTTCTTGAGATGTCCATGGTAAATGGTGATAAGAGGTTCACCTTGATGGCCTTGAAGTTAGATCCTAGTGGGGCAATTGAGAGTGTTGGCAAGGAGTTAGGGGTGTGAGGGCTTGTCAGGAGCTCAGTGGATAGCCGGGAAGCTCCTTCAAAGGCAATGTTGAAGCTGCAGTCTCTGGGGCCCCCTTTCCCTATGTAAGAGGTGATGTCCAGGGCACTGCCCAGCACAGCTCCAGTGAGGCCTTCCAGGTTCTGATTAGCTCTCTGCTGGAGGCTGGGGGCTGAAGGCTCAGGGCACTGGAGGGCAGGGCATCACAACTGGAGAGAGCAGCACTCTACATTCTCCACTACACACCAGGGATGGGAGTGCATGTCCCACCAGACCACACGAGGGCTTCAAAGAGTGTCAGGACCCACTGTTCTGATACTGCCATCACAAACAATCACACAGTCACATACAAACACGAGTACACACGCAGAGACACACACACTTAGCTATTTTAATATTTACTGAATGCAGTGACTCTAATATTGTCTAATGTAAAGATGATTGTCTTCTGAATATTCAGAATAAAATGAAGAAACATGAATCAGGAAATAGAGAGTAATGCAACCAGCTAGTGTCTTTCTCTTACATCATTTTTTTTTCCAACCTGAAAATCAATTGTTTAAAAAATATTTATTGAGAGTTATCTTTGTAAAAGACACCATAAACTAGATAATAATAAGTACTATGGTTTTAAAAAATCAGAAATTATGTTATATATACATGTTTTTGCTTTCTAAACTTTTTATTTTCTCCACTTAAATTCTAAGATATTTCATGGGATAATAATGTTCTATTTTATTCTCTCAGCTTGTTTTTTTTTTCCTGTTTCCTACTCAGAGTTGCATTTATAGCTTGCGCTGCTTAAGTGTCAATTCAGTGTATTAACATACTTTTTTTTTTTTTTCTCACATGAGTTTCAGCATTTCATTAGTCTGTATGATGTCTCTCCACATCAGCCATGGGTGGGGTTAGGGTTTTCAGTGTCTGTCACAAGTAAATCTAATTAAGCATGCACTGTGACTTTGAAATAGAACATCGTAACACAGACATATATAGGTCAAAATATTTCCTTTCAACAAATAATAAAGTTATATTTTCACATTAATTTTGAAAAATTCTTTTAAAAATAGCAATCACACATTTGGATGAGGAACTTGGTCACCCAATAATTCCTAACTAACAGGAAACCTCAATCTCTTGGAGTTAATTATCTCAAAAGCTAGGTTGCTACATTTTTCTTTCCTTGAAATCAATAGCCATATTTATAAGGCTAAGCTTTCCTTTTGAATAAATCATTCTGAAATTTGAAATTTAACATGGTAAAAAAGTTTGTTAAAGTTTAACCACAGTATTAAAATTTCAGATTATGGTTATAAACTCTATTCCAACTGAAGATATCTGGGACATTGTTTACATTTCTTCATCAAGAGGACCTTCTGCTTTATTCATATAATTTTATATTTTCAGGGACTGTTATAGTTGACAGAAGTCATCCTTAAATTTGGCCTCCTATGTGCTTCATTTTGAAAATATATGTATAATTTCTTCTCTTAGTCCTGAAGCTATTAATTTCCCTGTGAATAATAACTAACAAAACATAATGACAGAAGTTAGTACAGAGCTATATACATAAAGGTTGAATTAGTATCCTGTAACCTCCAAGTCTTCCAGCTCATACCTGATCAAATCAGTCTTAGCCCCACACTGCTCTGTACAGCCTCTAACACTTCAATATCCAATATTCTCTGCTGTGCCCTTGGGATCTCATTTGTCAGCAGCAAATTCTGCAACACCACACTCTCTTTATATACCTTTCTGTTTTCTGGCTGAAACCTGGAGTCTTCTTTGGTGGCTGTATCCATTCACCCACAACCTGCGTACATCTGTTGAGGAACTGTGTAGGTAGCCTTGCCATTGTTGCCATATCCAGACCAGTTTTCTTTCCCCTCAAAAGCCTGTCTATTTTTAGCACATAGCTATTCCATAGATCATTCTCTCCCTAACTCTGTTTCTCTGTCCCCAGGCTCCTTTCAAGCAACTCCTCTTCTCTCAGGTCCTGTCCATCCCCGACTATGGCTCTAGCATCTGGCTTGTGTCCTTTTCTCTACAACTATTGTCATCTTTCTTGATGACTTCAGCATCCATCTTGGGAATCAACCTACCTGATTGCTTAAATCCTTTGATGGTTATTTTATAATTTTTTTCCTCCTCCATCTAATCTTGACCCATTCCCCATGGTCATGTCTTATTATTCATCATGAACTGTAACTGCATACCCTACAAACCTTGATTTAAATGTTTGCACTCTCTGATCATCATATCATGTATTTAAGAATGCTATTTAAGTGTTTTATTTCCCTGACCTCAGGCTGAGTTATGAGGATGTCATTTTCCTTGTGAATGAGATTCTGGAGTTTCTCTTAGATTTCAAGCCATGGGGGTGGGAGGGGTGGGGGTAGTGGAGGCATATGATGGTTGATTACCTGAAACTCAACAGGTTTCCTCTGCCTTTGGGGTAAACTTCCCTGGGTCAAGGGTCACATATGGTGTTTTGGGGCTTCCTTCTTGGTTTGTAATGATAGTGTTAACATTTTGGGCCAATTTTTCATGATCAATAAGCCCTGGATTGTTTAGAAACATCTTTCTCAGAGATTCTGTTGCCTAATCTTCATCTAGCAGTCTGTCAACCTGGTCTCATTAATGACTGAATATTAGTTCTTCATTTAATTCATAACCCTGGCTCTCATCTTTTAAAACCATACTCCAGAATAATACAAATACAAGTGAGTATATTGATAGCTAGTCTTGTCCAATTTAATTCATTCCCACTTAAAAGGAAAATTAAAACATGATAGCCATAACTCATCACAATTTTAGGATATTTTGTTGCTTCCCTCTTTCTGCCATCCACATCCCGATTAGGAAAAGGTGAACATGATACCTTTCATAACTAAGTGGCACTTGGAATGATTTCTGGATCTCTGGTTAGTTCCTCAGGATAAAAGAAGCAAGGTAAGCATAACTTCACAGGTTTCATCAGTGGAGTAGAAGAGTACAATACATTTAAATTTAAATCATACTTTAATAACAGCTCTAAAACTAGTCATATGACCAAAGCAACTGACTTAACTTTTTTGAATATATTTCCTCATTTATATCATAGTGGTAATAATTAATATCACACAAGAATTATGAAAATTGAATTAGAAAATAATACATTTGTGAAAATAATTAACCTAGTGGCTGGCACATTGTAGATCTTAAAAAAAATGCATGGTTATTCCTGATGGATGAAGGTATGATTTAATTCTCAAGGTGAGTTTGCAAAGCTGAGCCTCAAACAGCAGGAAAGGCGAATTACTGAAGTGTTTTACTGATGCTATTTTCGTTGGACTGTGTCAATGTGGCCTTGGGTTCTTTTATGAAATTATACAGTGTACTTAATAAATTTAAAATAATGACTATATGGTACAATTCATTTTATTATTAACTCAGCTTGTAACAACTTCATTTTAACAAGTATAATTTTTGGTCATAATCCTCTAGTGTGTACTTTAGAGAGACATATTATCATTTGATTTGGTGCCCAATTCACTTGATAGCAGAAGTTTACTAAATGTGAGCTAAAAGACTGGAATATTTCTCATGAATTAATGAGAGTGAAGGCAAAGAAAGCCTGAACACCACTGTGTGTTCTTTAGCACCTTATTGATTGCAGCTAATGCACTGCAGTGGACTGGAATCCAGATTGATTTCCTGTCTGTCTCAGTCTTTAGATAGTGATGCCATTGGCTAGGAATGCCCGGGGCCCTCACCTGGTCTGCACTACCTGTGGCAACCCCCAAGGACATTTCCCCAAAGAGAACCAATGTTCTGGCTAGAGTGGCCCTTGTGGGTCTTATTATGACTGCAAGACGCACCTCAGCAGCAACCATCAGGGAACTTAAAAGAAAAGTCCTGATAATACTCACAGGGCCTGGAGGGTAAAGGGCACCAGCACCGACAGCCCTGTGACAAGGCGGGAAGAGAGAAAGACACACAGAGAGAGGAGAGCCTGGGGCTCTCTGCCTTACTGGGGTTGAGGGTGGGGTCACTCATTATTGGTGAATTTAAACCCTAACAGTGAGAATCAGGGAACAGGAAGGGTAAGGTGTGAAGGTGGGATCACTCAAGAGGCCAGTTACCTGGGTCACTCAGGGGTCTCTAAAAAGGGAGCTCCAGGGTACGTGAGGCCAGGCTTCTTGTCTAGGCCCGAGTAGGCATCACACAGCTGGCAATATGTTTATTCCAGGTGGATGTGTGACAATGGATGCCATGGCAATCCAAAGCTTGATATCAGGCACTTAGATTACACTCAAAAAACCTGATTGCTTTATAAAAAAGGTAACTATGACAACTAACAAAGAAACAGACAAAACCTTATATTTGGCCCAGCTATGACCATACACTGTCCACTGTAATTCTTTACAATATGTCTAAAATTCCTGTGTCGTCGTTAACTCCTGAGAGCATATCATCAATATAGAATGGCTCTACTAGACATTAGAAACCTCACTTGCCATTTTTCTTCACATTTCAATAATACTTTCATTTATTCCAATAGTTTTCTAAAACCTATATTTTATTGTTAAATATCCATTTAGGCCAAAGTTGATTTTACTCTTACATCTCCAAAAGGTAATATTAAGACCATTCAATGAAGATGTAGTTTATTCACATTCCCTCTAAACAAATAAAACTTCTACTTTGTAAAGAACACAAGTATGTCCATACTGTTCTCCACAGTGGTATGGAGGTTCCTTAATAAGCTACAAATAGAACTACCATATGACCCAGAAATCCCACTGCTGGGCATATACCCTGAGAAAACCAAAGTTCAAAAAGAGTCATGTACCAAAATGTTCATTGCAGCTCTATTTACAATAGCCCAGAGATGGAAACAACCTAACTGTCCATCATCGGATGAATGGATAAAGAAGATGTGGCACATATATACAATGGAATATTACTCAGCCATAAAAAGAAACAAAATTGAGCTATCTGTAATGAGGTGGATGGACCTAGAGTCTGTCATACAGAGTGAAGTAAGTCAGAAAGAGAAAGACAAATACCGTATGCTAACACATATATATGGAATCTAAGGAAAAAAATGTCGTGAAGAACCTAGGGGTAAGACAGGAATAAAGTCACAGACCTACTAGAGAATGGACTTGAGGATATGGAGAGGAGGAAGTGTAAGCTGTGACAAAGCGAGAGAGTGGAATGTACATATATACACTACCAAACGTAAAATAGATAGCTAGTGGGAAGCAGCCCCATAGCACAGGGAGATCAGCTCGGTGCTTTGTGACCACCTAGAGGGGTGGGATAGGGAGGGTGGGAGGGAGGGAGACACAAAAGGGAAGAGATATGGGAACATATGTATACATATAACTGATTCACTTTGTTATAAAGCAGAAACTAACACATCATTGTAAAGCAATTATACTCCAATAAAGATGTAAAAACAAATAAATAAATAAATAAATAAATAAATAAAATAAACTGATCCCAGGCTGAATGCAAACAAACAAACAAACAAACAAAAAGAACACAAGTATGCATGGACAAAATCAATGATTGAAAACATAATGTGATAATAAATGTTGTATGTAATTTAAACAAAGCATTAGTATTTTGGACAGCCTGTTAATAGACTTCTGTGAAAATATTTAAATTGCAAGTTTTTTTACTTACAGTGATGCATTTACAGTTGTATTCCAGGATTCACTGGAAAAAACTGTGAGGAAGTAACTGACCGCTGCAGACTTTTCACCATCAACTGTCTGAATGAAGGATGGTGTTTCAATGTAATCGGAAGATTCAGAGTAAGTAATTTAGTTTGTGGCAAAGTAGCTTAGCACCTCAAAATGCAACAGCTTCTGTCAGTCCCTATTTCAAATGCTTTTATTAATATAAGCCAGATAAATATATCATTTTCTGTATATTTAAATATGAGTTATATAAGGTTTAGTACTGGAGGTTTTTAACTTATAAGAATTATGTTGGGAGGGCATTATTAAGTGTTCTAGTCAGTGTATTTATTATAAAATAAGTATATAACTAATTGAGTACTGGTTATATGTGTCTGTATATATAAAACCATAGTTACTAATGCCTTCAGCTCTTGAGCCAGGTGGGAAATACAATTTGTCTCGTAGTTATTAGGGCATAAAATATATTATTTGTGGGGGTAGTTTTCAAAATGACTTTACAAAAACAGAGTGTGTATGTTACACATGGTAAGCCATATCCTACAACTCAGAAGCTCCATTTTTAGGTAGGTCTATTGGAGAAATAATTACGTTTGTACTGAAAGAGATGTGTACAAAAATTTTCACTCCAAATCTGAATCAACCTAAGGCCTATGGATAGGAAAATGGATCAATTTATCCTGGCACAGTCATACCATGAGATTATAAAGAATGATTAAAATAGTGAACATGTATTAATATTTATAAATATCAAAGTATAATGTTGAATTTTAAAATATTATTGAAAAATTATATATGTAAATTATGATAATGATTAACTAAAATTTTGAAATACAAGCAAATCTATATTTACTATGATTGCATAGTCTATAGCAGAAGAGTAAACATTTACATGAGGGTTATTTACACACACTGGCTTTACTAGAAAGACACTTATAGGGATATAGGTTAGGGAGTGAAATGGGGCAGATGGGACTTCCAACGTATCTGTAATGCTTTATTTTTTTTAATTAACTTTTAGCAAATAAGGATGGTAAGATCATGCTGTTCATTTTATTATTTTCTCTACTTTTCTGGGTTATAAAATATTTTAATAAAATATTTTGAAAAAAATGTGAATCCAGCTTATGGAATGGACCATGGAAAAATATATATGTGTACTTTTGCAAACATCCTAAAATATAATAATGTTACTGCACAAGAATACATAGTATAAGAACATAACCTTTAGCACCTATAATACATTTGGCATTATAGTGTATCATAATGGTTATTACCTCATTTGATCTTCACATAAATCTCATTGCATTTTATAGAAAAATAAAATGTCTACTGAGCTTTTGAATATTTCCTCAAGTTTACATATGTCGATGGGGATGAGGCATATTGGAAAGTACTCCGACTCCAGAACTCATACTTGCAAGCACTACACATATCTATGTTCAATATAAGGGATGTATTACCATTTCTTCTTCCTTTACAATGTACCTACCCTTTCCTGAGTAGCAAAATGTCTAGTTGAAATGTCTCTCCCATTTTGGTTTTAATTTATTTTATATTATCCTGTTTATGTTTTGGTTTTGGTTCCTGTTTTGTTTCAGGATAGTCTCTGAGTATTTATCTCTGACATTTATGTTTATGTTTTTCTTCCTCCACTGCCGATTTTATCTGGGAGGTCTCACCTTTGATAGCGCCTCAACAATTACCTGTATGTTATTGACTCTAACTCCAATTTGAATTTTTCTTTTAAGAAATTTAACTGAACTTTTCATCACCTTGCAGACTCTGCTTTCTTTCTTTTTTTTTTTTTTTGTTGGTAATTCTAATTTAAGTTTAATGACTTCCATTAGATAAAATATTAGCAAGAAAGGAATGCTATTGGTCTGGTTAGTTCTATTTTCTTGTAACTTATAGATTTTTAATGAACAGCCATGAGATATGTATAGCAAACCCCTTACATCTATTTTTCCTATCTTTATATTTTATTTCTTTTACATATTTTATTATATTGATAAGAATTTCTAATAACAGGTGAAGAGAACTGTGCATACATTTGCCAATTTTAGGGGGAAAGCAATCAGACTTTCACTTGTACTCTTAGATATTTGGAGATAGCCTCTATCAGATTGAAGACATTCCCTTTGATTCCTAATTTACTGAGTCTGTATCATGAACGGTTGGTGAGGTTTGTCAATTGCTTATTCGGAATGTCTGAATGTAGTTAGAAGATCATATCATTTTTCTTTTGTAGTGTGTTAATATGGTGAAATATAGTAACTGATTTAGAATTCTGAGTAAATATTGCATCCTTAAGAAAACTTTTTCTTGGCCTTGAGACATTTTATCTATTTCTGTATTCAACTTATTACTAAAATACTTGTATTCATATATTAATAAAGAATGCTTAAATTTTAAATAATAAATAGTATAATAATGTATAAATATTAAAATAATAAGACTGTACTTTTACTTTCTCATAGTGTCTTTATCAGATTTTAGCATCAGGGTTAATGTAGCCTCATAAAAATGAGTGGAGGGCTTCCCTGGTGGGGCAGTGGTTGAGAGTCCACCTGATGATGCAGGGGACACGGGGTCCTGCCCCGGTCCGGGAAGATCCCACATGCTGCAGAGCGGCTGGGCCCGTGAGCCATGGCCACTGAGCCTGCGCGTCTGGAGCCTGTGCTCCGCAACGGGAGATGCCACAATAGTGAGAGGCCCGCGTACCAAAAAAAAAAAAAAAAAGAGTGAAGATTTGTTCCCTCCCCCTCTATTACTTGTAACATTTTGTGTATAATGGACTATTTCTTATTCAAATATTTGATGGATGTCACCACTGAAGCATCTGGCCTGGGAGTTTTCTTAGGGGGAGAGTTTGTGATTATAAGCTTAATTAATTTGACATAGGACTAGACAACTCAGATTTTTTTCCTTCTTTTCCTTACCAGTCTAAAAAAGTAAGTAAATGAAATAAAATATAAAGACAGAAAAAATAGCAGTAAGAGGGTTTGATATACATACCTCATGACCGTTTATTAAAAATCTATAAATTAAAAAATATAAAATTAACCAGTGAGTTTGTCTAAGAATAAATGATAAAATTATTAAGCTCCTAGGGAAGAAAAACAAGCAGAAAAACAAAGGCTACTCCTCATGGCCTTTCACTGAGCAAAGGACACAAAACCAATTGATTGGACAAGCTTAAAGCTTCTGCTCATCAAAACATAGAAAAATGGCAACCATACTCCAAGATTACCAAACTGAATTTTCATTAAAAATAAATATAATCCAGATGTTTATTGTTTACATGAGACAATCAAAATATAATGTCTTTACTGAAATAAAATGAGGGAAAAAGATATATCAGTGTAATACCAATAAAAGAAATTGGTGATGCCTATATTAATTTAATGTAAACTAGACTTTAAGGCATAAAATAAGAAATTTATGATGATTTTTAATAGCATAATTTCAATTCATGAAGAAAATACAAAAATTATAATGCTGTATATACTTAAAAATATCTTGTGTATATATATTAACATATGTATGAAAAATATATAGGGGAATATTGATGGACCTTAAGGAGACATGCAGAGTCTAGCTCTAGGCCAAAATCTTATGTGTGACCTTTCACCCTCAACCCTAGACAATTAGGAGGCATTGCCCGGGCAGGCCTCGTGGGGGAAGTGGCCCACATTGGACTGGGTGCCCAGCCAGTGCTCCACAGGTGCCTGGAAAGAGTTGCAGTCGACACTCAGCCACACCCCAACCCCCCTCAGCCCGGCTCACATGCATTTTATTCCCAGTCCAAGCCCGTTTCTTTGTGTGGTGCGAGGGCCTCAGCTGGGACAGTCCCAGGAGCCTCCAGGGAGACCTCCTCATGGAGGGGCCTTGGCTGAGAGTTCTTCTGCACATCAACTTACTACTTCTCCACCCCTAGCCCTGCTTTCTCTCTCCAAGTCCAAGAAAAGTCAAAAGACTTTTCTTCGGGATCCTTGGTGTCCTTTCCATACCACATGGAAGAATGAGACAGCATTCTCACATGTATACAGGGAAAATAGGACTTGATATCAACCCAATGCATGGCAATTTAGTAGAATGTACCCAAGGTTTTCAATCCATAATCATTCAAAATCTAGAAATACCTGAAGAAAACAAGATTACATCAAACATGTAGGAAATATTCACTATATTGTTACTTATTTTAGAATCAAAGTAATCAAATTAAACAAAAAATAGCTAAAAATTATAATGTACCCATATAATAGAACATACATCCAATTTAGTCTATACTTTTGAAGTGTATCATGATTTTTGGAAAATACTCAAATCAGAATGTGTAGTAAAAATTGGCTGTATTAGTCTAACTACAGTTTAGTTATATATATATATATATATATATATATATATATGATATTAACTGCTGCTCATAACAAAATAAGATGTTGTTTATGAACTTGCTGGGTTGTGGGAAAGGTCAACAGTCATGGCAGTTCTCCTACAGCAGTCATCCTCCCAGAGTGCTCAGACATCTGAAGAGGTTGTATATCAGGCAGCATAACATTCAGGGGAGGGAGCGAGTCAGATGGTACAAGATGATGTAACATCTGATGTCTTCCATCTCCATACTCATTTACGACTTTATCAATTTTAATAAACATGAGATTTCCCTGGTATATTTGAATTACTTTTATGGAAACATGAAGTTTCTGAGGTCTGTGACCTGCGAGGTCCAGGGACAAATTAATACACATGGAGACAGAGAAACAGGGAACCAGAGAGAAGTGTGGAGAATAGGGTTTGAGGATTCACAGAGAGACTCCGAGTTAATTCCGGATGTAAGGGAAGACCAAGATTGATCGGAGTTTTGATGGCCAGTGGAGTCTGGATGATATTTGTATTATACAGATGTGTATATAGGCTAAAATGAAATAAACCAATAATTTGACAGTGGTTTACTCTAATTAATGAGATTAGACTAAAATTATAATCAGAAAATTATGTCTTTTGATTATTCATTTAATTGAAGTAATATGAAGAATAAGGCATATCCTGTAATGACTTTAAGATTAGGAAGTTTATATTAAATGCAACAGGCTGAACAATATTAGGGG